AAGCGCATCAATGAAACTACAAAAGACGACGGCGCCGACTACTGCTACTACTTTTTCCGACTGTAGTAGTAGCAGCTTTTAGTAATCGTCGTAGTAGTAGTAGTAGTAGTAGTAGTAGTAGTAACAGCAGTAGCAGTAGGAGCAGTAGTAGCAGTAGAGCAGTAGGAGCAGTAGTAGCATTCGCAGTAGTAGTAGCAGCAGCAGTAGCAATAATCTAATAGCAGTGTAGTAGTCGGTAGTAGTAGTATAGTGGCAGTGTGGTAGTCGTAGCCGAAGTCGTGGCAGTCGTCGTCGTCGTCGTCGTCGTCCGTCTTTGCTTCCCTGGAGCACCCCTCACCCGGTCATCATTTTGATTTGTCAGATTTGAGTTGTGATGAGGGTGATCATCATGGCAGTCGTGGTGGTGATGATGACCTCACGAAGATGTCAGGGGAGTGGGCGTCGGACAGGGGAAGGGAGCCCGAGTGGGCTTACCACGTGCTTAGTAGGTGCTTGGCAAGATCTCGAAGCTCAGCAAGTGCTTTGTAGACTTCCGAGGCCTTCAAACCCGGCTCACACCTGTTTGCCGTCAATCCATCCATTTGTTTGTGTCGCGCGGGTTTCTGCGAAAGCTCAGGACGAGTTTACTAGCCCCTTGCTAACTAGGCACTTCGACCTCGGATTGGAATGCCGGTCCAACGACCACCCTCTCGTCCTCCCCAACACATCTCCGAATCACTGAGGCCACTCTTTGGTTCGCCTGCTGTAACCCCGGCGCCCCCGTAACGTCTCCATGGTCACAGTGGTGATGGTGACGAAGTCCAGATAGGTTCATACCAGAGCGTGAAGTGTACTAGGGTCCCAGCGTACTACAGCGTACTCTTTCCATGGGCCATTGGCGAAGGACGTGCCTTCTTCGATCGTCGAATGTTTGGACATGCTTTCGCAGGAGCTCCGACTCAGTCTGGTGCATGCACTGGATATCCAGCTTTCCCATACCCCATGGCTTCGAACCCCGCTTTAGGAACCGACCCCCCAATCCCGAATAGCTGTCCTGGAAGGCTGGTCCGTATCGCCTTCTTTTCGAAGAGTTCCGTGAGATCGTGGAACTGATTGAGGAGATCCTATAGCTTGCTACCTGACGTTTGGTGCAACGCTTCGCTGCAGACCCTGCCCTCACAGCACAGGCTTGTGTCGAGAAACTGCTGTCTCCCCCCATGTCCCCATGTAAACTGCGGCATCTTGCAGGGCTCTATCCTGTCCAAGCTGTGACGTCATCGACTTGATGCGCCATTGCGCAGATTTTATGACCTTTTTGAGGAGCTGCATGTTTCGTCGCAGCGCCGATTCAGGCCTGAATTGAATGCCTCCTTGTCTGCAATGTGACTCGAGGTAGCATTGGTACGAGCACTAGCCATGGCACTACTCGCACTATTGCAAGTACCAGTATAGTGTATAAGTACTAGGACTAGTACTGGCACTGGTACTACGATGAGTTGCAGTACCAGTGCAGTACTTGGTACTAGTAACTAGCACTTGCTAGTATTACTGCTAATACTAAGCTGCCCACTCGCCCTGGAACTAGCACTATAGTGATTGATAGTAGAGTCGTTGTCGTAGTAGTAGTAGTAGTCGTCGTCGTAGTAGTAGTAGTCGGCGTAGTAGTAGTAGTAGT